CCTTCTTCTTCACCGACTCCTCCACCAGGGCCGCCAATTGCGAAATCTGCCGTTGCAAACTTGCAAGCTCCGCGTCGCGGCCCTCCTGCACTGGCGGGCGGATCTGTTCTCCGCTCGCAGCAGCGCGCTCTTCGTCTCCAGCAGAGCTCATCCCGTGTGGCTTCCCTCGAGGGGCAAAACTCTAGAGTGTTTGCGGCCTACGCCACTTATTTATCGGGTGAGACTGTTTTGGTGATGTATTAACTTCACGGGAGGTAGACGACCGTCCTTCACACGGACGAAAGAGGGAGTGCTCAACGAGCGGCTCCCACATACGGAGGGGGCCCGTGAATCATCGCGGTGACCCCTACCAAACGGCAATCTTACCAGTCTGCGTGACACCAAATAATCCAGCACGTGTATCCAACACCAATGTTCGCCGACCCACGAACAAGGTCGCCATGTTCGTTGACGAGGCCACTGAGGTACCGGAACTCGGTCGTCGGGGCGTATTTCTGTCCCGCGGCTTCGATGGTCAGCGGTGGAGGAGGGGTACTCGTATATGGTTTGTGATTCTGTTCGTCGCGGAGTACTCGCGCTGTAAAAATTGTCTCCAGCGGGTACGGCGTCTTGTGCGACGTACGGTATATGTGCACTGCTTAAGGTCGTCGCTACACGACTGGGCCACTACTGCTAGCGAGAGGGCATCCTCCCGGAGGAGCAGAGCGGTTTCCGCCCACACCGTTCAACGCTCGACATGCTGTTCGCCATCCAGCGGCTCCATGAGCTCACGAGGAAGAAGAGTACTGCGGTGTTCGCGTGCATCGTCGACCCCACTAAGGCACACGATTCGGTGGACCGAGACCTACTGCTGTGGGACGTGCTCCGACGCTTCGGCGTACCACCGAAGATGCTGGCGGTCATTCGCCACTTCCACGAGGGCATGAGGGCGCGCGTCCGAACGGACGTCGGGCAGTACTCGGGATGGTTCGACGTGGGCCAAGGCCTCCGACAGGAATGTAACCTGGCCCCGCTGCTGTTCATCTTGTTCTTTGCCGCGATGCTCATGGTCGCCGTGGCTGAGTTCGACAAGGACCCCAAGGTGACGGCGGACATGGTCAAGATCGGGACACAAGTGGAGTACACGGGCAAGAAGGGCAGGTCGGCGGGGAAGAAGACGACGGTGGTGACGGACGCGGAGGCCCTGTGGGCCATGCTCGACGCTGACGACGCGGCCATCGTCTCGCGCTCCCCGGAAAGTCTCGAGAAGATGATGTCGGTCGTCGTGCGCATGGCTGGCCTGTTCGGACTGATCGTGTCGGAGCCAAAGACGGACATCATGTGCATGCTGCCGAAAGGGATCGAGGAACGCCCGTTCACGGTCAGCGCCGCCGGCCAGACGTACAAGCAGACAGATCGGTTTGTGTACCTCGGACGTACCATCTCCGCGGACGGGAAGGCCGACCGGGAGATCACGAGCCGCAGCTGCCGAGCGTGGAAGTGCTACCGCCGGAACAGTGCTTCGATGTACGACAGGCGACGGGCCGACCGCCAGCTCAAGATCCGGCTACTCCAGGCTGAAGTAGTGGAGACTCTCCTATACGGGTGTGCCTCGTTGAGCCTAACAGCGGAGCACTATACGAAGCTCAATGGGACCCACCGCCAGTTCCTCACACGGTGCATCGGCTGGAGCAAGCGGAAACGCTCAGACCGCCCCCTGTCCTATGCCCAGGCCCTCATCCAGGCAGGCTGCGAGGAAACCATCGAGGCCACCGTGCGCAAACGGAGACTGTGTTTCGCGGGCTTTGTTATGCGCATGGAGGACAACCGCCTCCCCAAGCGCATGCTGTTAGGAGCGATGGCGGGGGGCGTGGGATACCGGGGCGGGCAGGAGAGCGACTGGGTGTCTCGTCTAGGAGAGGACCTCGTGGCCTTCAACATGGGAGACGAAAAGGAAGGGGGGAAATGGAAAGAGAGCGCCAAGGACCCGGAGGTGTGGTACAACAAGGTCGAGGACGGGGCGGCATGGTTCATGAGGAAATGGCACAGGCAGGAGGTGTAAGCGTCCGCGAAGGGCCAGCGCGCGAGGGTGGCAGGAGCAGAGAGTACGGCTATCTCGACCGAAGAGAAACAGAGTCCGGGAAGCGTCGGTGGGGGGGAAGAAACGGCGACCGGGCACTGCTGTAGAAGCGAGTAGGGCGGCCGAGGCAGCACTTGTGGCGAACTATGTATCCGGCTGATGTTGTTGCGCCCTGTTTCCCTCCATGCTGTATGCTATACAGTAGGTGTCCCGATATAGTGCCGGTATGTGTCCATGCGATTTGACCGGCACCATGCCGGGCACCGGCACCATTCAGAATTGTGCCTGAATAGTGCCGAACGGCACGGTTCAGGGCCCGAAAATCCCTCTGTAGTGCCGGCTTGGCACCATTCAGCAGGACTGTTCGACTTCAGAGTGCAGCGCTTGCGCTTTGCGGGACTGACAGAGTACCAAACGAACGGTATTTGGATCGATCGTGAGGTGGGCAACGTGGGCGGGCTTCATCAAGTTTCGTAAGGCTTTTGGACCGTCGAAAACACGGCATTGGTCACATTAAAGTTAACTTGATTGACCAGATAGATTTGTTGCACATCAGTTTTACTTTTCCCACCTCAGCGCAAGCATTCGCTAGTGAAACGTTGCTGCTGCCTTTCAACCGTAGACTGTGCTGCCCGATAAAAGTTCACCTCGCTAATAAATTATTATGTGTTGTATTGCAAGAACGCCGTAGCACTGATGTTCTTCAGGCAACCTCAAAGGCATCCCGGACAGCGAAAGAAACACGCTCATGCATGCACCCGGTGTACATTTATTTGGAGGCAAAACATGGATGGATGAAAAAAATAAATAGAAAATGGATGTAGTGCTCCTTACATGAGCACACACAAAAAGCAGATGAAACCTCAAAAAGGGGTGAAGAAGATAACGAACTCCCCTGTTCCTTCGATATAAAGCTAGAGAGAAGACCAAGCCTTCAGCAGCAAGAAAAACGACTGGCCAACAAAAGACGTCGTCAGTCTTAGTGCGGTCACAAACAGAAAATATTTGTCAAGGAAGTGAGAGGGTGTCATGGAGGAGGCTGAGCTATTCTCTGGATATAAGATAGAAATGGTAGCAACCGAGAGAGGAGAACTACGTGACTGCCGAGGTTTACTTCTTTTGAACACTCGTTTCTTCGGAGTGTTTTCATCCTTCCTTGCATAGAAGTATTTTATTTACCACCACTACTCTTGACTAATAATATCTTTCCACTATTTTTCGGGCTTTCATCTCTGGATTCTGCGCCCCTGCGGCGTTTGTTGTGAGGGAGGTCATCTCGCTCGAAACTCTTGTTTGTCCCCTCAACGCCATATTGTCCTCTTGCATCATCACTACCCTTGGCTACATATCCATCCTTCGTCAATACTACCATCTTCTTTATCGCTCGCCTCCCTACTGAAATCCAGCCTATTGGTGGAACTTAGTCGATCGGTAAGAAGCCTGACATTTGAAGACGTCATGCGTACAGAGAGAAACCGAGCTATACTTGTAGCTCGAAGGGAAACCGGCTACGAACCCTGTTGGCGTGGAAGGCTTGAGGCGAAAAAAAGGCTGTGTGTGGGGTGTGAACCGGCACTATTGAGGGGTTCGATAGTGCCTGAACCGGCACTATAGCGGGCAGCCCTCAATAGTGCCGGTTTGGCACTATTCAGGCCTGTGTCTGTGTCGAGAAAATTTACCGGCACTATACCGGACTTCGGCACTATTTCGACCGGCCCTAGACTATATCAGGACACCTACTGTACTCCTTTTATGTCCTTCGTATTGCCTTCGGCCTCTGTGCTGTGTTTCCTTCTTTCATGTCCTCCCTGCCTACTACCCTGCCGAGTTGGGTACCTTGATCTCCCTTTTGCTGTTGCTTTTGTTTTTATACATCTGGCTGTCTGCCCATCTGCCGCCTCTTTGTCCTGTTGGCTCCGTTACTCCCATCCATGCCCTGGTGCGTAGTGTGCCTGGTGCTGGTACGTTACCCTTTTCTTTCTTTTTTTCTTTTGGCGGGTGTGGGAAGCGTCCTCCTCTATTTTTACTTTTTCCCTAAATAATATCACACAACAAATCCATCTCTGTCTATAGAAATAATTCAAAGATAGACTAGCAATGAATCCATAGCGTGAGCGAAAAGCTACCTGTATGTCTACGGTTTCCCAGACAGCATACAACGATATCTCCCCTGTGGGTAACAGGCTCAACAACGCAGTTTGGTAGCCATCTTGTGTATCAACAACAACAACAAAAACAAACGCCGTGGACACCAAGGAGCAGAAGAAGGTAATGCACCCCCACCCCCCCTCGGTGATTGCCATCGGGGTTGGGTTTTCGTCGCTTGGCAACGACGTTGTAAAACAAGCCGCCCCCCCCGGTGTTTGCCATCGGGGTTGGGTTTTCGTCGCTTGGCAACGACGTTGTAAAACAAGCCGCCCCCCCCGGTGTTTGCCATCGGGATTGGGTTTTCGTCGCTTGGCAA